GGAGGAGGCGGTGGTTCACAGTATCATAGGCTGCTGACAGGTCTATGAAGACAGCTCCTGTGATCTGCTGCCAATTTCAGCAGATCTGTTCACCAATGGCAGCAGATCTGTTCACCAATTTCTGGTGAACAAACTGAAAGGAGCTATAGTTTTATAGCCATTACTTTCCCCTTTCTCTCCATTGTAGTTTGGTGAGGCACCAACATGCTTTGGCAGGGAAGACTAAAGACCTTGTAAAACCACGGTTCCTATGTTTCCATAACATTGAGCCATGATAAAGTGGTGTCAAATGGCATTAATTCTGCCATGCATAATATGAGTGATTTGTCCATTTAATTGCCTGGCACTTTTACCCAGGTGGTGGCTCTGGAAGTAGTGTAGCAAGTTTATGTCCCAGTGAAAGTGGTTTTTTCTGCTCGTCTTCTAATTAAAAAAAAAAAAAACACTTGCAGCAGCTTTCATAAATGCTGTTTGTAGTAGCTTGTAGCATGCTTTCATATAAAGCTAGAGTTATAGTTTACTCCATGAATTATTTCCCTGTGCAATAATTATTCCTTTTGTTTATCATCTTCACTGAGTGACCCCCTCACCTGGGTCCCTCTATTGTGGGGGAGGGAGAAAAAAAATGTCTTTATCTCTGCTTCTTCCACACATTTTCCATTCCCATGTGCAAAACTAGATTAACCTATCTGACATGGACTAGAATGTTAATAGCCTGCTTTCCCCTTTCACAACTTGGGATACAGCTCCAATCATTCACTGTCTGTTAGGAGAAATACATACAGTTTGTGTCAAAGCATAGCCCTAACCAGCTGAATCGGAAAAGAACAGTTATTACTGCAAACTCTGTATACATTATTTATCAAATGAAGTCTCTGCAGCAGGAATACAATTTATTTTCTCTTTCCAATCCCCCACTATTATCTCACATCCTCCCTTCCCTTTATGTTATTGTTTCAATGGAAAATGAAGGAAACAATTTGCAGCAATTTGGAGAGGGGCACCTGACCCTAGAGAGGCCACATATAGGGGACTTTGACCCTAGAAAGCCAAGTTTTCCAACTGCCCAGGAAAAAAGTGGCAAGAGTTGTGGCTAGGAGGCTTCCATGACAACATATACAAAGATCATCCAGGGCACTTGCCTTGGAAACTGTTTTGAAACAAAACAAAAGAAACATATGTTTTAATATATATGAAGTGACTACTTTATTTTCACAATGTGATTTTTTCCCTCTTGGGCTAAAAGAAAATAGTAGCACAAACAGACAGCCTCTGTCCTAGCCTGCATTGAGCATTTCCTTGCTGTCCATGGGATCCAGGTGTATCATATGTAGGATTCTGTTGGGGTTCAGCCTGTGTGTGAACCTGAACCTGATTCTCTGATTGTATTTCCTGATGCCAATGTAGATGTCAATGTGAATTCTGAGGCCAATTTAGATGATGATGGTTTGAGTAGTGAAAATCCTACAGCCTTGGAAAGTGAAAGTCAAAATTCCCATGAGAACATGCATTCCGAGCCGAGCAGAGAAGTTTCACTCCCTTTTCCTCCCAGTCTTAGTTCTCCAGAGAATCTGACACCTGGTCTGCCTAATGAGGATAGGCGGGGGCAGATTTGGCAAAGCCGGGGAGAAGCACGATGTTTACGTAGGTCAGCTAGATTGAGAGAAATGCAAACAAAAACTCCAGGCGTGCCTCGCAATAGATTTCTTGGCCTTAAGTATGCCTGGCCTGAATGCAGCTTCAGACCAGTCATTGTTCCAGATTCATGTGCAAGCTTTTGCAGGTCTCCTGATTCAAGTGGCCTTGTTCCTCGGAAGTTTTCTCGTTGTTCCAAGTACGGTTAGTGGATTGCTAACAGGTTCCAGGATTCAGCAGTTTTGCTGTGGGATTTATGATCTTGTTTATGGACATTTCTTGTTGCGGATTTTTACTGTGACTTTTTACCTTTGCATATTTCCTCTATTTTGTATTCATCTTTCATCAATAAAA